TTTGTAAACAACCTAAATGCCCAGTTATAAGGAACTAATTAAATAAACCATTTATGGGAGACTAATGAAATAAACCATGATGCAGCCACACAATGCAACATTTTATAGCCAATGCAGACATAGAAAGATGAGAGTAATAGGTTAAAAAAAAGATATAAAAGAACATATAATGTGAAAACAAACTAATTTCTTCTCCCTCCAGTATGTTCTGTTTAGTAAAAATAAAAGGGTGATATTACCAGTATTGGAGAGGCTAAAGAAAAAAAGAACTCTCATACACTACACACTCTGAAGGAATATCTGGCAATAAAATATTAAAAGTCCTAAAGAAGCACATACTCTTTTTTCTTCAATACATTCCATTTCAAATAATTTAGAAGGAAAAAAGTTAGAATTCAGTATACAAAGTATAAAAGAGTGGTTACAGAGATGTAAATAACAGCCTAAAAAAACAAAAAATAAGCATCTTAAATATCCATCAACAGATTACTAGACAAATAAACTAACAGTATATCCATACAGTGAAATACTTTCTAGCCACTAATAATATTTGCTGTTGATGATTGTCTACCTTGTATTGCTAAGTTTATAAAGGACGAACAGCTTTCAAAGCTGTATATATATAACATAATCCAATTTTGTAGATAAAAGAGAATGTGAAGTAATCATGTTAATAATGGCTAGCTTTAGGTGATAAGTTGAATGACTTTTTTTTATACCCTTTATATAACAATTTGTTACACTGAGAAGGAACTGTTAGACAAAGACATAAGATGAATCATAGGCCAAATCAAACAAAACTGGAGTAACCTGTTTTTAAAAATAGAGAAGAAAACTTTCCATGTAAGCAAATAGCTTACCTTTAGCACCCTGATTTTTCAAACAAAACAAATCCTCATCTCCCAATGTTTCCTAAGCTTTTCCTACCATCATGCTTTTGTTCTCTTAGATCCTTCTACCTAGAATTCCTGTACTTCACCTCTGCCAATACAAACTCTATTCATCCTTCAAGACTCAACTTAAATAATCCACCCTCCATAAAGCAATCCTTAACCCTTGCCAAGATGATCAACAGGAGAGGATGGTTACAGCCACAAGAAGTACCAATCATGACTTTCCTCCTCTGACTCACTACAAGTTCCTTGAGAGTGTGGACAGATCTTATTCAGTTTTGACTAACCCCACAGTAGCTTAAACACAGCTGACATTCATACAAATTTATTTCCACTAGGCCAAAATAATTCTAACTCTTAGTAAGGGCATATAACTTCAAGCTGCTTTCCATAGCATCTGTGTGCCCATCTATGCCCAAAGAGGAGAGATATCCCTACGTGGAACACTCCCCGACTTTTGCCTGGCTATCTATGAGAGGTAGTTGAGAACATAGGCTCCAGAAACAAAACCACCGGAGTTCAACTCCCAGCTTTACCACTTATTAACTGAGAGACCTTGGCATATTGTTTAACTCTTTCTCTTTTTTTTTTTTTTAAGAGACAGGGTCTTTCCCTGTTGCCCAGGCTAGAGTGCAGTGGCATCATCATAGGTCACTGCTAAACTCCCAGGCTCAAGCAAGTAGTAGATAGGACTACAGGTGCACGCCACCACATCCAACTAATTTTTTTTTCATTTTGCTTAGGCTGGTCTTGAACTGCTGAACACAAACAATTCTCCTGCCTTGGCCTCCCAAAGTGCTAGCATTACAGGCATGAGTCACCAAGCACGGCAGCCAGTTGCTTAACCTTTTGCACCTCCAACTTTCAGTGTAGATTTGAAAATTAAATGAGATTAGGTATATGAAGTATTTAGAAGGTGCCTAACAGGTAGCAGACAATCAATTGACATAAGCTATGCACTGTTACTAGAAACTCTTATCCAAATCTCAGCTCTCAGCTTGGACCTCACTTAACTCAGGGAAGCCTTCTGTCTTGGGCCAATTAGGAGACCTTACCCTGCTTTTTCATGGTACCACTCTCCCAGCCCTTACTAATAACTCTATTATCATTACCTGTTTACTTGCCAGTATCCCGCAAGATTGCAAGTCATTGAACCATGTCTATTTTGTTAATCAGTATATACAGCATCTAGTAATAATATCCAACACACAGTAAGCACACAAGAACTACTTGTTGAATGAATAATGAAGACAATTAAAATAGCAAACTTTTAACACAAACCCAAGCTTTCTAATACCTTCACTATGCTTTAAAAAAAAAACTTGAAAATATACTTTATCCCCACACACAGTAACTCCACATTTTGTTTTGCCAACTCCCCCAACAGGCTAACAATGCTCACAAAACAAAAATAAAAATGCAACTGCAAACTACAAAAGCAAGATTTAAAAACAAACAAGAGAAAGGAAACAAAACACCTAGGATATGCTAGACCCTATGTCAGATGTTTTCCATGCAGCACCTGACTCTCTGAGCCAAGGAATGAGGGAGAAGAGAAGCGTCATGACAGAATCCCCAGGCCGATGAAAATTACCACAACCAATAAAACTATGCTCTAGTTTTCTGAGAGCCAAAGCAAAGGTGGAAACATAATGGATTACATGATGCTCTGTGCTCAATTTTTTAAAAGCATATTTGGTTCCTCCGAAATAAGCATTTTCCCTGCACATAGCTTCAGTAATTAACTTGTGAAGTCTTGCATTTATTCTTTAAGCATATTTTAAATGTCATTTTGGAAGCAACTTCTAGAAATTACATACCTTAATTTCAGGGATGCTGTCAGAAGAGAAGCATTACACAAGAACTGACCAACTAACCAGCCAACCAATTGATTATTTTGACAGAACATTTCAGGATTAAGTAGCAAAAAAATTTTAATGGTTTCTGGCCTTATCTTAATTGTTACCAGTATCTACTTAATCTTCCTTACTTAAACATCCCTTTATCTGTACTTTAAGTAAATCACTTTATTAATCACTGAAAAGAACTTCACAAAGCTTTTATTTTTTTAAAAACTGAGGTTCAGATACCCACAAAGTGTTGAAGAGAGCCAGAAAAAAGAAGAGACTCAGAGGTCAAAAATATAGTCGTCTCTCAGAATCCTCAGATTGGTTCCAGAACCCTGTGGATACCAAAATCTGCAGATGCTTAAGTCCCCATATAAAATAATGTAGTATTTGCATATAACCTACGCATACT